GAATAGAAGTAGGGGGTGAAGGTGGAGTGGTAGTGGAAGGAGGGGGAGTAGGAACAACTGAAGGTGGATGTGGTGGTGAGGGGTACGCCTTTGGAGGCGGAGGGGGTGAACGATGATAATACTTTGGAGGTGGAGGAGGGTGCCTACGTCTTGGTGGCGGCGGTGGTGGAGATGGTGGTGGCGGTGGCGGCACCTTACAAACAGGTTTGCATTTCTTACAATCCACAACACAAGTGCGGGGGCATGATGCAGGGCAATAGAGGTCTTTGTGGTAACACTTGTAGAACTTTTTGTCTTGGCACTTGACTTTCTTAGGCTTTGGATGAGAAGTTGCTGCCTCTGCCGCAACAAGCATCAAGAGGATGACCAAAAACACACCTAAACGCACCATAGCTTGAGCCATTGGTGCTGAATTGTATGTGGGTGTTGGAGCTTTGTGATTATGACTGCTATTGATGCTGGCCTCCCCTTTTATAAGGTCTTGAAAAATATCAAACTTTGCATCTTGCTCACACTAAACGTAAAGGTGTTCTTTACTTTCCACTCCACTTGTTCTCTCACACATGGGCACTCAAAAAGTCAGATTTTTGCTGGCCCTAAAATTAATCTAAATATTGGTCGGTATACCTTGGCACATGTGTTAATTCCACCCACACTTAGCCTCCTAAAACTTAATATATCAATGCATCTGCCATTTTGATAACCCTAGTTAGCAAATTCATGTATTATATGTATGATTACTTTAAAAAAAATACTTTTGTTTTTAATGCAAATGTATTATTCGCATATTTCATCTGTATTTTGCACGTATTATTGAAGAAAAAAATAATTATAAATAACAAAATTTAAATTCAAAATTTTCACCGTGTGTTTTAAAGAAATTTGCCTAATCATTTTTACATATGTATTATACCCATCCCTTGTTTTACTAACTACGTTGATAATTTTAGTTTATAGAAGTAGAGATGTTCCAATTTAAAAAGAGTATTTACAAATCTATTTAATTTATGGTTTCGATGGATTGACCGCCAACAAATTGCAAAGGGTCAATCACGTACACTTGTAATTAAAGGTAGATCCCATATCTAAACGGGTGTGGAATAGGAAATTAATCCCCTTTTAGAGGCAGGCCAATGGCCATGCGTACGTCTTGTAAAGTTTCATCTTTTGGCAATGACCTACCAACTTGCAAGATTTCTTAGACTCGTTGTACAACTTTAAGAGACATTATATAAATGTTGAGCTACGTTGCAGCTGGTCAGGCTTTACCTGACCAGAGATTACCACCAAGGGCTGAAGCTAAGGTCTAAGATTTTGAAAATAAAGAATTATAGTGCTAATTTTTAGAAAGCTCACACATCGTCCTAACAAAATTAGCTCACTCCATCCTAAAGATTTAACTCCATCCACTCCACTTAACAAAAATTAGCCTACCGACTCCACCCAACTTTTAGAAAATTATTTCTGGTTCCGCCCTTTTATCACGTATGTAATTCGAGATGTGTATCGCAAAAAGAGAAAAAATTAAATATGTAAATAGAAAGTGAGTAACTTGGATGAAACCTGGGTTGTGTACATATATACGTAGTTACTAAATTATTTTTTTCTTGGGTTTTCTTGATTATCAATACGTATATATATATATATATATATGGTTACTGTAATGACCTTTAGTTTATAAATCAATCATTTAAAGACCTAGTCAAATGCAATAAATTAGATATGTACTGTACATGCCTCTTGTACTTGGGCATGCAGTATTTGAGAGAGAGTGGGTTTAGCTTCTTCTAATAGCTATGAATTTTATTTTCTTGTTATGAACGTGGACAAACTGAAAGTGAACTCAAACAAAATGTGAGGTGCAAGAGAAAGCAAGGACTTTGAACATTAACTGGGTCTTTTTGGCGGCATAAACGCTTGTTGCAGTAGGCATAATAGATGGACTCAATCGCAAGCCTACGCTAGCCTCAGCCTACGTGGACTCGACTTTACCACTACAAGCCTAAACCCTATAGTCTTTTTTTTATTTTTTAATACAAACGATAGTCTCTAAACTACAAGAGGTATGAGGATTTCTCACACTACCAAGGTGTCATGTGGGTTCAATTCAAACTTTAGACCATTGGTCTGCAAGTGAAGACTCTTTTCCACTGAGTTAGACCATATTGGCAATTCTATTTCCTTTTTATTTATTTATATACGAGCAATATTTTTCTTTTGAAAATAAATTATACTAGTTATTATTGATAAACAAACAAAAGTATGGTGCTAAATATGGGTAAATCTTCTCTAGTGACCAAACACAATAACGTGTTGAATTGATCTGGATAGAATCACATACAATCCAAAAAATGACTAAAATCCTCGATTAGCAACCAGAATATTGATTTGAGGGGGAGTTCCTTTTTTTTTTTTTGGGTGGTGCAGCTGTTGCTTTGAAGGGAAGGTTTGCCATTGCCTATCCAAAAAAGGGGGAGTAAACATTCTGACTTCAATTTTCACTTACATATTATATTTTCAGTCATACATGCTTTCCACTGGTTATTTTTGGTTGTGCAGAATTCAAGTTACCTCTATTGCAAGTGGTCATATTTTCTTTTCTTTTTTTGTTAGGACTTATTTTCATTCACTTTTAATTCGTTTTGGGGGACATTGTTATGACCAACTTTTGTAATTGGAGTTTTTGTATAAGAAATGCCAAAGGGGGAGATTGTTAGGACCATTTTTGTATATTGGAAATTTCCTGTTACAAAAATATAGAGTAGGTTTTTTAGTGTAACATATAGTTTTTAAGTGACATTTTGCAATCCTGGATCAATGTGGCTCAGAGACAATGCCAAGGTAGGTTTTGCATCCATGCATTCATATTTGCACATTTGGAAGTTCATCAAGAGTGGTTGTCATATGTATAGAACTTATATATGGTTTCAGTCCTATATAATCCAATGTCAGACATTAATGAGATTTGAACGATGGTTTAATACGATTTAGTTGGTGTTTATTTATGCACGACTTTGTGCCAATAAAAAGGTTTTTTTGTCTTTTCAGCTAGCTATTTAGTTAAGTGGCTTTATTTGTTTTAAAGAAAGACTATTTTTGCAAAAGCCCATTTTTGCTTAAGGTCTTTTTGTCTTTGACCTAGTCTTGAGCATGAAAAATAACAAAGTAACTTCAGCCACTTTGTTCTCTGTGACTTTGAAAAGAAAATCACGAGAGAATATATATATATATATATATATATATATTCAGAGATCTTTTGACCGTTCATATTGAAAACTCAAATGGTTATTCCTTGTTGGCCTCCATGAGTGATCAAATCATCATCTTTTTATATATTTGTGAGTCCATGAGCATTATGCATGTTGGTGATCAACAATTGTGCCTTGAGGTGTGAGCAGCCGAGACCAGGGTTATGTCATCTCTTGTTAAAAAGTATTTTATCATTTGATATAATAATTATGAATAAAAAAAATACGAGTGTAACCTAAAAACCCCAAAATTCCCCATCTAATCTCCAGGCTCATGGGCATCTCATCATGCATAATGGAATTGGAGATGGCCTAGCTCAGTTTTCATTCCTACTACGCCACTAGGTTGCTAATATATGCCTATATTATTTAGGCTTAAGTGCTACAGTGCCCCTTGAAACATTGGTCAATTCTCACTTTACCCTCTGAAAGTTAAAGTGACCCACTTTGCCTCATTGACCAAGGTTTGATGTTACACATTGCCTCTTCCGTTAATTCTATCTAAAAGTCTGTTAAGTTTGATGACGTGGAAGGGATATTTTAGCAATTTTATGCACCTAGGTTTTTAATTACTTAAAAAAAAATTAAAATATAAACATAAAATTGAAAATAAAATAGATTTTAGAAAGGGAAAAAAAAAACAAAAAACAAAAACCAAACCATCCCCTTTCCCCCCAATCGCACCAAGTCCTCCCCTTCCTTCTCTGTCCTTGTAACCCCCCACGCACCAGAAACCCAAAGCTCCCCCCAACCTGCGACCCACCCTTCTCTCTGTGCAGAACTTGGAAAGCCATCACCATCCATCCCAAAAATCGAAACAACAACCCTCCCTCTGTTTTTTCTACCCCACTGCCACATAACCCCAACCCCCATACCCAGTAGTCAGCTTTCAAGTTTTCATGCCTCCCATCTCAAAACAACGAAAAAAGAGAGAGAGAGAGAGAGAGAGAGAGAGAGAGAGAGAGAGAGAGAGGGGGGCTGTCACTTATCTCCATCTAATATAGTTATTTTGGAAACAACATTTTTGTTATTCGCAGAAAAATAGAAAGGAGCCCCTCTTTGGTACATTCATGTATATCTTGAAATGTGTTTGCTACAGTTGTTCTTAGTACATGCATTTGTATTTCTTAATGCAGTGACTTTTGACAGGATAATCTCTTCGCTGTTGATATTCTCTCAGCTTGCAATCTTGTAAACTATTTTGGGAAAATGGTTCATGGAGGTCTGGCGTTGGTCAGATCACTGTATATCAGGAAGGTTAGTTTAAGATATGAGAGAGAGAGAGAGAGAGATCAATTTTTTAAAGTTTTAAATTTTATGTTTGTATTTTAATTTTTTAAAGTAATTACTTTTTTATTAATTTTTTTTATCAATGATGAAGGTGGGCTCCACTTTGTCACATTACTCACTCAAATTTATGAATAAAAAACTTAGGTGCACAAAATTACTATAACACCCCTGCCACGTCATCAAATTTAACAGATTTTTGGATAGAATTGACGGTATGGGGCACTGTGGAACATCAAACCTTGGTCAAGGGGGCAAAGTGGGTTACTTTAACTTCCAGAAAGTAAAGTGAGAATTGACAAATATTTCAGAGTGCATTGTAGCACTTAAGCTTATTATTTATGGGGCCAGGTATGGATGGGATGCCGATAACATTAACATCTACAACATGTCTCCGACTAGGAATTTTTAAAATTCAAGGATCCTGTACCCGCCCTTGATTTTTCCCCAAAATATTCCCTCATTAGGGCCGGGGTGTGGTAAGAACTCCGCACAGGAATTTTTGTCATCACCCATGGATGTGTGAAACCCCCCTCCCCAAAAAACAAAAAGAAAAACAAAAATGATGGTAACGTGCTGAAATGGCATCATTGTCATTTCATCACACTTCAGGGGCAAATAATCCAAACTGCTTCCCTTTCCCAGATGCCCGTAGAGGCCAGTGACAAAGAAAACTTACCAGAACGCACAGAGCTCTCTCTGAAACTAAAAATGGCGTTCGCTTATCGGAAAGAGGTTTACTTCGTGGCTTAAATCACTCCATGTATGACCAGGTATCAAAATCTCTCGGCCTCAGCTTCCTTTTCATATTTTCATATTCATCTTACTCTCAACTTTTATGAATTTTTTATTTCCATTTTTGACAAAAACAAACACTTTCTATTGCTTTTTAGGTTTTTTCTTTTCTTTTTTCTTTTTGGCAACATGATTTGTTGTTGTTTGAAATATTTTTCTTCTACTTTGTATAAAAAATCTTCTTGTAATGGAACAATAGGCTTCAGGAACATGCTTCCTAATTTTGTTTGTTTTTAGAAATTTTAGGAAACAATATTTCAAGTATTTTTGACACAATTTGAATGCAATATCATAACTAATTTTCATCGAAATGTAAATTTAGTTGGAGATTTCGTTGGATTTTAGAACATATGTAGGCATACATGAATAATTCATTCACAAAAACATTGTACATAGGTGTGTATGTTACTATATTTGCAAGTTTAGAAGTATGGGTTAGGAAAGAGGATGTTTCGTATGTGGCGGTGAACTATTGGTGTACTATAGTTGGGGAAAGTTGTGAAGGAAGCAATTGGACCAGACTATGCTGTGAGAGCAGTCACTTGATACTATGTAAGTGCTCAAATCTTTTCTCTTAAATTGACATTTTACTTGTACCTTTGGCTACCCAAAATGAGATTTGTATTCATAATAACATCTTCTCATACTTGGATATGGGTTCATGACTTTCCTTTATTGCCTTTTGCAGCAATGAGCAGGATGTTGATTCCCAGAGGCTCACAGTTTTCGGCTGGTAAAATGTAAACAAGAACAAGCAGGTAATTATGACCTTCATCTGTTAATGAATTCAATTAATTTTTCTTTTGATGGTCATGCGAGGAACCCTAGATCATGACTGTATTGTCTGTATTTGATGAGTATCAGAGATAGTATTTATGGAGTCCGCTCTTATAATTGTCCCTCATTTCTAAATTTTAAATTGTGTTTCCTCTTAAAGATATTCAAATAACATGCATACAATTTATAAATGGTTATTTTGTTGTTTTCTATGACTGTTAACTGAATGAGTCATTATGCTGAATTACGGATCTCAATTAGATTGCAGATTTGGGATTTTTGTTTTAGGTAAGAAATTATATCATTCAACAAAACGACAGTTTGTATTAGAATTATGTGGTTAATTTGCAAGATTTAGCAGAACCCTCACAATCCAATAGACTTTTTATCTAAATTGGCCGTGTCGTTGAAACTTGTACTCATCCATCCCCCAACAAATAAGTTTTTTTTTCTTTCCATATTTCTCTTGTGATCTTGACCTTGTATTGATTTTCATTTCTTTGTACTATTCATTTTAACTTGATAATTCTGGTAATAATATAGTTCCTTTTTAGATGAGTGACAATGTATCCTGACTAAAAAATACTAGTCATATGCTAGCGTTTGGGGCCAAGCTATAGACTAATGTTATTTCAAAGAAAACAAATACTTCAGCAAATATGCTTTTTTTGTCCCATTTTCGTACTTTTATATGTATGCCAAAATTTCCTTAGGTGTGTGTGTGCGCTTGCTTTTCTTTTATTTTTTATCCTTTATTTGTGCCCACTTTAATTCTATATTTGTTCTGTTTTTATGAATTAGTGAAATGTCACCGTTGAAAAAGATGTCCAAGTTGCAGAGAAATACTGGTTATAGAATTTAAGTAATCTTTTAAAACATTTGCTTATATATTCCTAAATTCCTATTCAAATATGGAAATAGTTTATGGTAGCTACTTTGACAAAATTTATGATGGAACATCTAGTAGTTTGAAGCCATAGCCTAAAGGCTTGGGTGCATTATGATTGATGTTTTTCTTTTGGAAACCTTTAAAGTTTGTTTTGTTTCTGACACAGCTATTTTCCTTCATGGGGTTTCCTTTGATACTATTTATGACAGTAGACTAACATTTTGGTTTAGGGTAACAGAACTTTCAACTTCAATATTTTGAAGCTTGTTGTATTTCTCATTTCAATCACTAGATGAATCGAGCTAGAGGCTTCTGCCCACATTCTTTCTTTTATTACATCACTATTTAGTGTTTTACATGCAATGTGATTTTAGGTCATCAGATCATAATTTTGATCCGACACTTTAAGTTGTATGACTTGGTGCAGGCACTTCATATAGCTCAATGCATTTATTTGCAAAGGCATGATAGCATATATTCATTATGGTGATGAGCTGGGGATGGTGCATATAAGTAGATTATTAAATGATGAAACTTTCCTAATTGATAGCAACTCTGAAGAAGCAAGTTATTGCTAACCTAGAATGACTGAAAAGTAACATACTGGTAAGTTGACAAGAAAGATAATGCAGGAATATCTTGGAATTGAAATTTATGAGGGATGGGGAGAGGAATCTGATTTCTTTATTCGGTTGAGACATTTCCGTTTCATCTCTAGTAATGAGAATGATACAATAATATAATATTCATGTGTGCAAGGCAATGGTTGTCATTATTTATTTCTATCTGAATTTGTCTGCTTAAGGTTCATGTTCCTTGTGGTTGCAAGGGATTCCAGAATATTGTTACTTTTCACAATGTTTTGCATTCTGAAGAACATATATAAACTATACCGTTTGTGACAGAATTATCTTGATTTGGATCCTGAATAGATCATGGAGCAAAGGGACACTGTCTGCATGAAGAAATTGAGTTTAGTGGCTGTGATTATGATGTCAACACCGTAGTTATAAAGCAATTAGATTTTGTAGATTAAGAGCAAAAATTATGTACTTATAAAGCCAGACTCATCATTGTCTTAGTTCCTTCCATCTCCCATATTGACGTGAAACTTGGATCTTATCTTTTCAACCCACAATCAAATGCTAGTGTAGAAATCTAGTCCAACCTGATGCGTTGTTAGAAATGCGCACAAGTTGCTGAACTTAAGAAGTGTGCAGTCCATTATTGTTCAACACCCATAATTAAACTTGACATTATACCAAGTATTGGTTAATGAGGCGTTAGTGAATATAATTAATGCTGCAGCGTATATAGAATACTACAAAGATAGCATATCCAGCTCAACATCTCCTATTATATTTCCAAATAAGAAATTTGTCTTGTGATTCTCACTGTTCTGCCATGTGGCATGGAGATTGAAGGAACACAGCTGCTACCATTCAAAACATACTGACAGGGGTCTACTTGAGATCGTATAAGGATTGTTATCAGTTACCAAAGATTTGCAATTACCATATTTGAACAGAATTATTGATTAACAAATGGAATTTCTTTTCAATACTTTTTATTTATTTATATATTTCCCTGAAGTTGTCCATAATGAACTTTTAATAAGCCTATTGCAGTAATTGCATACTTGATGCAATGGAACAGATCTGGGTTAGGCACCTGAGTTTCTTTTTCTGTTTCGGATTTTCCTAGTTAGGGCACTGATGAATCCATTTTGTTAATTGATTACTTTGTTTCTATCTGGAAAAGGGAATTGATATCTACCATAGAGCATTTTAGAGTTTACATGTTTATGAGTTTTCCGATAATGAAAAACTAAACTTAATGATACTGGCTGTTGCTTTAGAAAATTTAATATTTTAGTGTTGGTTAGATTTTATTTTTAAAGTGTTGCATCTTGATTGACTATATAAAATATCATATATAATCTTTTCTTAATCACACAATTGATTATATATGAAATGTGATATTGCTATAGATAATTCAGAAACAAACAAGGAAAGTATTTGTTTTGGCATTTGCCTGTGACAGTGGCATAAATGTTAATTCATTCATTATATGTGTGAAATCCATAAGACACCATGCTAAACTCACTCCAGTCTGGTGCACTTTGTTTTTATCTGGAACTCATTCCTATAAACCACCCACTGAAGCATGACCCTTCTCTCCATCGGTTAAAAACTCTCTCTCTCTTTCTGTCTCTCTCTCACTCTCTCTCTCTCTCTTCCTCCCCTCCTCTTCAGTCAATTAGGTTTTGTTACTGTTTCATATTTGAAATGGCTTTACCAATTCTGAAAGGACTTCTTAGAGGCTATGTGCAGTTACTCTTTAATGAGGTGACAGATTCCTGATCAAGTGTTTTCTCATTTTGTTCCATGATATCTTGTTTGCCAAGAGTCCTTTTAGTTCTACTTTGCTTCCTGCATTGTGGTATTTATTGTGTTGTAAATGAATTTTGGTGTTTCTGGATGCTAAAGGAATGCCATTGTTGTTGCCTATCTTCTTAGCTTGTGCAAGTTATTTTGGGAAGTCTTTCCACATATAAATGTTCCATAGATATTCTGGTTGGGGGGTTTAAATAGATACATTGAATGTCACAGTGTGCTTAATTCAAGTTAATTTGTATTTGTATGAGATGCAGCAGATTTACTAGGTTCAGTAATGTTTGGAGAGTGCTTATTTGCTTTTCTAATGTGGGTTAATCTCATTTCCTGCAGGGTATCGTGAATAATCAGTTTTCGCAGATTCAGACCTTGAAGAGTGATGAAGATCCTGATTGTGCTTTGCGGCTGATCAATATATACTTGCTTGATGTTGAAAGAATGTTATCAGAATTGACAAGCCTCAGGTACCCCTGTATCCCCAACAGAATTAAATGAAGTTTAAGTTATGGTAGCTAGTTTCATGGCTTCAGTGAATCATCTCTCATTCTTGGTACTGTATTTGCAGTGATTTACCTGATGTTGATTTTTCCAAATTGGCTACACTGGCTCGCAGTATAGAGGAGAAAAGCTCATTGTAATGTCATTTGGTCATTTTGGATTACCATTGAAATTGTCTTAACTACTTGATAAACATTTGAATGAGTTTGCAGGTTTGATCTTAGACACACACACACACACTCTGATGAGTTTGCTCTTCTGCATGTCTGATCTTTTACACACACATGACTTACATGCATCTGCGCATAAATATGTTCTCTGAAAAATGAAATTGTACAGAAACAAATATATGAACTAATAAATATCTTTTTGCAATTTCATTATTTTAGCTTCCTTTTTATCATTTCAATAGCATCATTACCATATAAATCCTAAAATTACTAGGGTACATGGTTCCATCTAACACTATCTAGATTTTCTATCACATCTGCATAGTGAATTACCTAATGCGGAAGTTGAGTATTTAGTGTTTTCGTTGCTGTTCTGGATGCAACATGACATGATTATGACCAAGGGATATTTCTCTTAAATGTCTGTTCTTCAGATATAATTGTCACCACCAGGCAGAATGTTTTGCATTGTTACTTTTATATGCTTTTATTTATCTCTTTAATGAACATGTCATAAAATTAAGGATATATTGCAGAGGATCTGCACATCACCTGAAGAACTGGTAATAATTTCAACTCCTTGATAACTTTGAAGTGCCCCTCATATCCAAAAATTTGGAAACCCCTTTAACTATGCACACTACACATGCATCAGTGTCATGGAGACAATGTGCTGTCCAATTTATGTTGGAAATCTCCAAGTTCCGACACCAGAAATTTTAGTGATACCGATAATCATGAATACTTAATGGGCAATAACTCTCTCTCTCTCTCTCTCTCTCTCTCTCTCTCTAACGTGCACGCTGATAGACATGCGTGCACCTACGTAGTATGGGTACAGACATAGGACGGGTTATGACAAGATAACAGCACAATGACAACAAATCTAAAAAATTTAGGACATGGACATATTTGTAAATAAATTTTTCACTTAGAAAGTCATCTAATCTGGGAAGTAGTATATTATTTTTTGCGGACACATGTTTAACGTGCGTCATCCAAGTGTCGTGCCCAACACATGCCAGATACAAACATGGTTATCATCTAGAAGTTTTCGTGCTCCATAAATGCTCTGAGTTCCAAGCGCATGTTCAGATCAAGATCTAGGGTATATGCAAATATGTACCATAGATCATTTTGATTTCATAATGTATAGTTGACCTTTTGAGAGATGAATACTGCAATTCTTAATGGTTTTTTTTTTCTTTTTTAAGTAATTATGGTCATTGCACGAAATTTATGAATACTTAGTTTGGACGTCATTTATTGAGTTATTATGAACGTGTTATTTAAAGTATCAGCTGTTCAACTCATATTCTGGTAATTAGTGTTGTAATAAAATGATATCTTTTTGTGGTGAATGAATGGTAGCGCAGACTGCAGTTTGAATTTTTATTTTCAGTTCTGGAAGTTTGAAGGTTAATCTTTCCAATCCAATAAATTGAATCTTTTCTTTTTAATCTCTTATTGCAGAGTTGGTGCGGAACATGTGAGAAGTGCGTGTGCTGATCTCATTCAGGCTTGCGAACGGATGCACAAGCAAAAGTTAGCATTCTCTTGTTCATCCATTTGTAATGTGAAATCTACATACCACTATTATTGCATGTTGTACAACTTATATATATGCAGAGAGCTTCAGTTGAGGGATCTTATTTGAGGGACACCCTCAACTGAAGCTCTCTGTATATCAGTCCCCGTCAAGATATACACGGTGCTTCAAGATATATATATATATACACACGAAACATTCAATTGAACCCTGATGTCTGATGATCACATGGTTTAAAGGCTCCATTTGGGTGGAGTAAATTGAAAGAAAGGATTTGGATTTGACAACAAGACTCACTTTGCAACAAAAACTAGAAAACATTAGAATGGAATGTATTTGAAATAACTAGATGTGGTGCAAATGGATTTGAAATAACTATATGCTAGGGATCATTTGAAATTTATTTCTTTGCTTTCTTTTCTTATTCAAATTTTGGCATACATGGATTGTAATAGTCTAAATAATTTTTTTTTTAATCTTATAATGTTATCTAAATCCTTAGACTTGGAATCACTCCATCCAAATGGGCCATGAGCTCTAAGATTTTTCTTCTTTCCTGTTCATGAGATAAATGTCAGCTGCCAGTTTATTAGCTGCTTGGATTAGTATCTTCTTCACAATGTCCTGTAGATTCCCTCAGATTAATTCTGGGAAAGTTTGTCAACATGGATGATACTTTATATTGAATTTTTTGTTCCTAGGTATTCATTCTCTTGCATGTTTAATACTAATGTAGATTATTTTTTCTACAAGTCAATCTAAGCATTACACATTTCACATAATTTCCGAATTTTATCTAATATCAATCCTTTCCAGCTGTCTATTCTTTTGTGCAATATTCAAGTCAAAACTCAATTGTCATCTTCAAAATTTTGGCACACATCTCATATTGTGGACATTTTCATGTTAGGTGCAACTGATATTGGCAGTTACATGTCCTCGTTTGTGTATTAACTTTCCTTTTATTGTCTACCTTTATTCTGGACATTGAAGGAACTACTGGCTTTTATCTATATGATGAAAATAGAAAGGTTCCTTTATCACTTCTGAATAAAAAAATTATTGTTGTGGTAGTTTCTTTTGTCTATGCTAAGCCTGTTTACTATATACATAAGCAAGATTTTGACCCCTCTTTTGATGTTGAAATAAATGTTTTGTTTCAGTTTCCTCCGAGCCCTAGGTTGGATAAAGAATGAATTCGCTCATACCCGAAACAAGCTGGACTCCTTTGTTCAGGTACTCCACAACGTCGATTTTGCCATCTCCCCATTGACTATATCTTTACTAGGCAAGAACTTTGCATATTCTTTGTGCTCTTGTTCTTGAGAATAAATGATTTTCTTCTTTGACTGTATTGATTGTCCTTTTGAGAGGAAAAGTGTGAAGCTTTGATTTGTGAAACTGAAGGTTTGCAATAGGTGCATTAGTTGTTTTGTTTTACAGGTGGTGAATCCACATAAGCGCCCTTTATTTTGTCTATGATATAGTTTTAACGAGCTCTATTTCAAAGAAGAAAAGAAAAAAGAAAAAATTTCCTCCCTAGAACACCTGGTAAGAGAACAAATGTCAATCAAGGGTTGAGTTGCAGGTTCTGCCTCTCCAAAACAAGCCTGTAAAATATTCCTATTTCCTGAAGAACCATCAGCATGGTTCTGGAATGATTTCCATTATTCATTTTTAATTATTGGTACTTTTCATGATTAGTCTAAAAATTTATTTATATCATTTAAGATATGGATTTTATCTAGTTTCAAGGTCCGCACAAATTTCTAATCAAGTTTATACAAAATTGTGCAAATGTTCTTAGGTTTAGTAGTATAGTCCCCCCCTTGAAAACAATTGCTCCCTCTTTCCTCCCTTCGGCCAGTTTTCTCCCACCGCCACTGATCTGTAGTATAACTTAAGGGCTTCATCTCTGGTTAAATTTTTTAGTGATTCTTTGATTCCCTGGGTTAAAGACTTTTCGATTCAGTTTTGCTAATGGCCTCGTTTTGTTTCTGGATTAATTGGTTATATACCATACTGAGGTATAGTTTATGAGCAATGGACGTTCAACAAATCCTTTGCTAGATTTAAGTCAAAATGGTTCTGTCATGAATTGTTTCTCTTTTCGATATTCACATGGATAGGTAATTTCTTTCTTATTTTTCTGAGTACTTGCTTCTCTCAAACACAATGGTACAGATGGAGAGGAGGATTTTCAGAGTCGAAGGCAGAGAAGTGAAGTAGAGAGAGCTTGTGTGCAGTCAAATCTCCTCCAAGAGTGTGAGCTTCATAAGGATGTTTGCTTTCTTAGAATAAAAGTACTAAACGAAACTCTGCTGCTGTCTTTGTACTTGTTGCATCTTTTCGCTTGGAATGCTTTTCTATAATAAAAGGGAGTATTGTTGCTCACCACATTAACCAAAGATGCATGCTCACCACCATCCTTAAATGGTGACACCTGTCCCATTGTTTTTTTTATGAGAATAAAAAAATAATTTGAAAAAGGGCCCGCAGCCCATCTTCCCCTCTTTCTTCCTTTCACCCCTACCTTTTTTCCTCTTTCATTCTCCCCCCCCCCCCCC